AGGTTATAGATCAATTAGGGTTTCTCACAGAGTGTTAGGGTGATAAGGGAGGCGGGAATGAAGGCTTAAGGTCCTTTAAATAGGAAACAAACCCTAAAAATAAGGGTTTTCTCACTCAACACCAACTCGTCGAGTAGACTCTAGAAATCACATGGTCATTAACTCCTTTACTCGGCAAGTTGGGGCATCCAACTCGTCGAGTTGCTCTAATATTATGAATGTCAAATAATTTAATATTATACTCGGGAGTCGGGATGTAACAACCACTATGTGTTCATACATAGTCTTTACCTTCTACTCCTTATTGATGTTTTTAGAGTCTTATGCTTTATGGTGAAAGTCCTTAGACCTTCAAAGAATAAAAACATAAAGAAAAGCAAACAAAAAAGAAGAAAAATGGAAAATCAAATAAAAAGAAAATAATAAAGGAAAACTTGAAGAAATGCATCAAAAAAGAAACTCAAAGTGAAAAACAACAAAAACAAAGAGAAATTGAGAAAACTAAGCAACACAAAAAGAAATGTAAGAAGCCAAGTGATAGTTCAAGTTCAAGTTGTCTCTCTCATAATATATATATATATATATATATATATATATATATATATATATATATATATATATATATATATATATATATATATATATATATATATATATATATATATAGACGTTGGATCGAGTGAGGACTTAAAAATAAGTGAATATTGCGATGATAAATCTATCACAGGATTTAAAAAATAAAAGTTGGAGATTTGATTTGATTTATCGTCAATATCTCGCGAGATAATATTACATTTTTGTAATTATTCGTGAGATTTTGACATTTTCCTGCAAATGTTAACTGTTTGGAGGTTAAATGAGTAAAAGGGAAGAGGAAAAAAAAACCTTCCAGTGTCGTTTCCATCCCCCCACCCTCGTATTTCATTTTCTACCACATGTCAAGCCCTCATTTGATATGTTTTTTTCCATCTACTTCGTTTTTTGTTCATGACCTTTTTTTTTTGAAAAAATATAAAAAAAAAGTTTTTAAAATTTAATTCTCTACAAAATTACCACAATCATGAAAGTTTGAAAAAAAAAATATTTTTTTTATAAAAAAACTAGAAAAAAATTCTCCAAAAATCATACAACTTTATTGGATACTTCTACTCAATATAGTAGTGATTTTGTAAAAAAAAAATTCAAAAATAAGTTTTTGAAGTATTTATTTTTATTTTTAAGAAATATTATATATATATATATATATATATATATAAATATATATATATATATATATATATATATATATATATATATATATATATATATATATATATATAACATAATGTGATTCAAAATATTTATGATTTTAAAAGTATTTAGACTCAAATTCTTTATAATCCTAAATTATATCTTTTATGATTCAAAAATATATAATGATCCATAATTTTTTTTTTAACAAAAACTATATTTAATTGAATATATTAGTAATCCAAAATTATATGATTAAAAAATATAACGAATAAAAATAATTTGATTCAAAATTTCATGATCCAAAAATAATATGATTAAAAAAATGTATGAATGAAAAATATTATAATCCTTAATATTCTTCTTTTTTAAAATTTTATAATTGTTAAAATTTAAAAACTTAAACCGATACTTAGTTTAAAAAAATAAAAAAAAAATCCACAAAAGAAAACAAAAAATAAATCAAAAAATAAAAAAAAAAAAAAAAACAAAAAAAAAACACTACTATGTTCAAGTATGTAATAAGATATTTAAAAAAAAAATGCAAACAAAAAAAAATCGGAAAAAAAATGGAAAGAAAAAGAATATATTTTTTTTAAGAAAAATAAAAAATTAAACGAAAAAAATAAAAAATGAAAAAAAATTACAAATGTTAAAACCGAGCATATATCTATTTAAGAATAACTGAATTTTTTTAACAAAAAACAAATAATAACCAAAATAAATTAAAATAAATAATAAAACTCACTTAAATGACGTTCTGTGGACATTCACCATATGTGATTAAATCATCGAGTCCGTATTATTACCACAGATATGGGTTACATGTGAACGCACCACGACTAAGTATTTAGGTTTGACGTTTGTGTCTTTGACAAAATAGGTGGTGAAAAATTATCCTCGCACTCCTCACCATTTTTTAAGTCCTCACCGGAGTACGACCATATATATATATATATATATATATATAGAGAGAGAGAGAGAGAGAGAGAGAGAGAGAGAGAGAGAGAGAGAGAAATAAGAAGAGAGAAGATCGAATACAAAAATTCGATGTTGAAGAATTAGAATGTCTTTTGTCTAAGTCATAGATTGATTTGTAATTTTTGCTTTCTTATTTTGGTGAGAGTTTAAGGCCAGGACAACGAAATGGTAGCTTAGCTCATCTTGAGCTCATTTTAGTCTTGTTCTTACTTGAGGACAAGTAAGGTTCAAGTTTTTGGTGATTTGAAGGTTTGTTTTGTTTACTTATTTTATTTAGTTTATTATAGCTTTTTTTAATCCTTTTTGTTATTTTTGCATTACATATTTTATACTTTCTTTATTTTCGATCATATGAAATACTTTTTATTTTGCATGAGATATTTTGCATGTATTTGGAGCCACGTCGCAGTCGCGGATCGTCTTTTTGTTGAGTTTGTGACATTCCCTCTTTTTCATAACAAAAAATATCTTTAGGCTTTACTTATCAAACTTGCAAAAGCAATTGCTGCCAAACAATATAGATATATAACATAACTTAGATATATTTTAAGCCTTACACCTATACATACCCATCCCAACCGATTCTCATAAATTCTAGTCCATAATTATCATGAAGAATCAACTCACCTTGTCAAATTTTTAGAGAAATGGTTTGAATATACAACTAAGGGCTTCCATGGCCGGTGTAAGTCATAAAGGAAATTTAAGCCATTAGAGTATTTGAGGAATGAGGTATCCCATTTCATCTATGTATGTAGGTTATAAGTCTATACTAGCAATGTAACTTATAATATCGTCTAGAATAGTCTAGTGTTGTCATGTTACTCTAGGAGATGATCATACATATCGTTTTAGTTGCATGATCGAACCCACCATATCTGGTTTTCCAATGGAATACTATATCGTACTCCGTTACATAATCCGTATATCTACTCTTAATAGTGTCACAGAACAGAGTTCTACTCTCCGTTCCAATCACACACACCCTTAATATGATGTTACCCAATATCCAAACTTAATTGAACTATGCATCCCCTTTAAGTCCTAATGTATAACTAGACTATATTACAATGGCTATAATTAACAAAATTTCCTGTCTAAGTACTATTTTTATAATATAGTGTATAACTAAACACTCTTTTAATTTAACTCGAACTAAGACTCCTTTATAAATCTTATTTCATTAGTAGGTAAGACTCTAATTCTTATAATCAGTTTTATACCATTTTCCATTTTATACCATACTATCATAATACAATACACGACTAATCTTTTATTCAACTTAAATGGATCTGAATAATCTTTATGCATCTTAGTTTTAATCTTAGACAATAATACAATCTTTGAAATCAACTTATAATACTAACTATGTTTAGACAACATTATTGTAAGTTGGTGTATAGATATATATTTAACATATTGCATCAGGTAGTTTAATATACAGTAATCTTTTAAGTAATGATACTTATTTTTATGATTATCATGTACACTTCAACACATATATAACCACATTTGGTTCACACAGTGTATGTTGACAAGTATACATTTAACAAATATTCCAGATAATAAACATTTAATTCACATATAAATAGTTAAAAGATATTTAATACTTTTTAATAATTATTTGCATTAAAATCATGTTCATGAAAGTAACTATGCACTCACTTCATATAGGTGGAAGACTCGTGGTAAAATCAGCTCTTTGACTGACAATTCATATTTCCCGTTAAACAACCTAAACACGAATATTACTAAGCCTAAGTATTCATTCGTATTTATGAATTTTAATCATTATAATGTTTTTATCAGATTTATCAATAATCCCAAAAGAATATTGATGTATAGCTAATAAGGAATAATCATGTAATATCATATCGGAGGCAGGACATATTTGGTATATAAAGATACATTGTTTCAAGAATCCACTTTAAACACCTCACGGATCTACCTTAGACATCAATGTCGTAAGTAGATCGGTCAGCATAATGATTGGGATTATTGATAATCTTATTTTTAAGTTCATAATGATGTTCACAAACATAAATATAAGATATACTTAAAGTACGGTAAACATAATTCAACTTACAAGTTGTTTAATAAAAAAACAAACATTATGTGGGAAAAACTTCAAAACTGAAAACTCTATTTCTCTGGGCTCTCTGATGCTCCAGAGTTTTGCTACTAACACCTATGAATTCCTAAAGTTGGGCCTCGAAGGTTTAGGAATGATTTCGGAGGTTTTGGTACAAGATTGATCAAAAAAACGTGGGTATGTGTAGAAAAATGTATAGGCGTGTCACGTCCTGTACACATAGCAACATATGATTCGTCCATGTTTCTTGAACTTGGGGAGGAAGGGTTCAACTTGATTGAGACATGTGTCGAGTTCTTGTTGGTCCGAATTTATTATTTTTCTAAAAACCATAACTTTAATATACGGTCTCAGTTTTCTATAGGAAAATGACACTGTAGCCCTACAATGCTTTGGGTTGTGCTCGATTCAGTCCCTTAGCTTAAATTTCTTGATTTTTAATGGATTAAAGTCCACAACAACCTATCCATTTAGTCACCGTAACTGATTGTATCCAGTTACGCATGTGTTTTCGTTGACTAGTGCCAGATCATATCTCTCTTTCTCTCTCTCTCTCTCTCTCTCTATCTATCTATCTATCTATCTATCTATCTATCTATCTATCTATCTATCTATCTATCTATCTATCTATCTATCTCACACACACACTAGTCAAACTCTTATTTAATAGCTCATAAGGTAGATCTTCAATGATGTTCTAGACAAGAGGAGCGGGTTTAGGATCAGGTTTAAGCTCTCCTTCTTCTCTTTCACTGTTGTTTCCACTCTCTTCTGGAAGACTATCACTCTTCTTCACTTCAAAAATCTTTAACAGCTCACATCTATGGTCTTTTGACCATGGTGGTGACTTTGCATCTCTCCCTCCTTATGGGGACCTTGCATTACCAACTTCTTCTGAAGTTGCTTTATTTCATTTAACAAAATTACTGCCACTCTTTGTGACTTCCTCCACATCTTTCCTTCCATGAAAAGGTCTCTATGAAGAAACATTTCCATCTCGCCTTGATCGATCGCTTTCTTATCTAAACCCATTAGGGAAATATTTCCTTGGCCCTGAAAAACTTGTAGATCTATGTATTCGATCACCGCCATGAGGATATGAACTCAGATTCCCATCGCGCTACTATCTCTATACATATCATAACTATTTCTCATATCGTTCATAATCTGACCTCTTCTGTATCAACTTTGCATTCTTAAGATCATCATCTACCCTTTCATAACATGAAGAAGAAGAAGAGGATAAAACTCGTTTCCCACTTTCAGACTTGTAATGAAAACTTATTTGCAATGAAGACTATGTAAACTTGAATCATCATTCTTTCTTCTTTAATCCTTAAAACCCATCATTTTCTCCTCCATAAGAGTTCAGATCATCACTCGACTTCTTTCCCTTCACAATTAATCAAAAATCACTACTACGTCAACAAATAATTCCAAAACAGGGCCATAAAGCAAACCTCTCACCTTTAAAAACAACTAATCATATGTCATCACTCTTTAGCTTCTTAGCAAAAAAGGAATAAGTTGTGAAGTGTGAAGTACTAAATCTAAAGAAATCATAACAAACATCAAAACAATCTAGATATCTTCAAATACTTCCAAAGTACCAAGCCTCTCTTTCAGAAACCCTATATTATAGCTACTAAAATCACAGAGGTTACAACAACAGCATCGACATATAAATCTCAATTTATCATCTAAACTACTAAATCGATCTGCATAGACAACAAATAAAAAATTACAAGCAAAGATAAGCAACCACGAGGATCTTAATTTACGTTTTCTTCTTGTTCCCTTTCAAAACACTAAGTTAACATAGATAGCTACAAGGAAATGGGTTTGTTTGGATTCCCTGATAACGATCTTGATATTGAAATCTGTCACACCCCACTAAAGCGGAAACACGAGGCATGGAAGTACAAAGGGTTTCATAGAAAAAGTTTAAAGACAACACCAACCATAGTATTAAAAACCATTACAAATTTACAACGGGTTTGAACAACTTTTAAAAGAAATTACAATAAAAATAGAAATACAACACATGCGAATGCTCCTAAAATTGAGGTGTCCCTAAGTGCCACTTACTCGATGATTCCTGAAAAAGCATGTAAAACGAGCGTCAACTATAAAAATAGTTGGTGAGTACTCACAAGTTTAACAAAATAATATTGGTTCATGAGTTGAAATCAAAGTTTTGATAAAAGTTTCCAATAATAAAAGTATATTGCTAGGAGTAAATAAGTTTGTAAACACAGTTCGTTGTTATCATGAGAAATAAAGTATATTGCCCGAATAAGATGCAACATTCATATTTTCATGGAAGATAAAGTTCGTTACTCAAACGAGTAAACAAGTTTCATTGCTAAAATGAGCTGTCAATTTCGTTGCTACAAGGAGCAAACAATTTCATTGCTAAAACATGTATATAAGTTTCCAGTAGTAAAAGTTCGTTGTTGTAATGAGAAATAGAGTCCATTGCTATAATGAGAAGCAAAGTTCATTGCTATAATGAGAAACAAAGTTTATTGCTATAATGAGAAACAAGTTTCGTTGCTAAAATAAGTATTCAAGTTTCATTGCTAAAATAAGTATACAAGTGTCGTTGCTAACATGGGAATACAAGTTTCGTATGTGTATAAAGAATAGTACGTGCATCAAGTTTCCATTCATGAGTTCACAACCCAAGCCTAATGACCGAATCGTGCCCTATTGACTACTATGTGTATCGCAAACATAGTGTATAAAATGGTAAAATGCACTCAAGCGAATCGTGCGAGTGAGGAGTTGTCTACCTCCTGATAGCGCTATCCATAATAACCATAGGCTCAAAAGAGTTAATGAGTTGTGTCTAGAGATTCCAGGGACTTAACCGCGATACAGTCCTCATGAATTAAAGTAACATACACAAACATACGAAATATAGCAACCAAGTTTCATACAAGTCAAAATAAATACAACGAACATAAAAAGTTTAGGACATGCTTTTCCACCCCAAAACATAAAAACTAAAAATAGGGGAGTACGTGAATACTCACAATGTGCATTGAGATGATGCAAATGGTGCCTTGACTATGCTCCACTCGTATCACTATCGATTCCTACAATAATGGTATTCGCTAGTGAGTCTCTAATCGAAATCTAACACTAGTATACATGGTACTACAATAGAATTATGCCAATATTGTGTCAAAATTTAATATCGATAAGTTACAAACATTTTTCTGTGGAAATTAAGTTTCAAAGAATCAATTGTTATATAACAATTTAAGTGGAAAATTTCCATTATTGAAATGTTAATATTTAACATTTTAGAGGTGTTCCAATGATTAAATATTCAAAACTAAATCAATTTAATTCTAAAATATCCCAAACTTTGCATTTCAGTTTTAATTGAAGTCAAAGACCTCAAGATAAATTTTCTTGAATTTAATTCTAAAATATCCCAAACTTTGCATTTCACCATTTTAGTTTCTTGAATAACCATAAATTAATGAAAAATAGCAATGAGTTAAGAAAATTCTCCAAACTTTTTATATTACTGTTATTAAACATTTCCAAGCTGGGAAAAATATAAAAATAGATTTCCAAGCTGTTTAATTATATTTTTGTGATTTTTGAGCATTTATTCCAATAAAAATTGAAATAAATAGAAATAGTTTCCAAAATTACCCAAACTTTTTATTTAACTGTTATTATACATAACTAGGCTGGGAAAAATATAAAAGATATTTTTCAGTGGGTATTTCTATTTTTCCTTGTTTTATTCCTTTAATTAATCATTAATTGAAGAAATAATATTAAACAGTTAAAATAAATTACCAAAAATTTTTGTAACATCATTTACAGTATAGATAACCTGGGAAAAATATCAAAAGTGGTTTTCATAATGTATAATCTGGTTTTGGGTATTTATGTGTATTTAAGTGTATTTAAGTGTAATTAACTTTAGAAAATAAGAGAAAAATAGTTTACAATGGAGAAAAATCCTCAAAATTTTTATGTAACCTCCTAGTGTACAATATGATGTTCTGGTAAATTTTCATGAATTTTGAATTTTTGGACCATTATAATTACCAAAAATTAGGAAAAACAGTAAGACATGATGAAAAATCTTGAAATTATTTTCTTGAGTCACCCATCACAGGTAAGGTATGAGAAAATTCTTAGATACAATTTTCACACTCTCTAAAGTGGTTTTGTGATTTATTATACCCTAACAAAAGAAAAATCGGAAATCATATCAAACAGCAACAAAAATTGATGAGATTTGGTGAGGGGTCATTATTCACCATAAGGATCGTCCATGACTTTATTCCGGATTTATTGACCTCTAAAAGTATTTTATGTGATTTATGCCCATGGTTTTAGCAATAATTTTAATAAATCAAAGAAATGATAGAAGCTCTTGAAATTTTCCAGATTATCACATGCATGTGAGGGCTTTCAAAAGGAAAAATGTTCAAAATTTATTCAGAAGGGAAATGGGGGTAATGAATCCAAACAAGTTAAGAAATGTTGCATGCAATGGTGCATGAGATGTAAATGTGGTGAAGTTCATGAATTTGTGTAGCCCATTCAGTGAGTTTTAAGCCACGAAATTTCAGCCATCATTCACTAGCCACGAAATTTCAGCCATCATTCACTAGATATGTTAAGTTTCTAAATTATTTTTCCTCAGATTTATGGTTGGGTTTAAGGCCATTGATCATGCAAGGCAAAAATGGTGATCACAGAAAAAGAGCTGTTTGCGCAACCATTTTGTAAAAATTGCCAAAAATCGGATATTTAATATTTTACAGTGAGACCAGTTTGTTTGAAAGTTAACTCAAAATATTATATTTCAGAAAAAATCACGAAATTTTGTTAAGAAATGAGTGAGATATGGCAGTTTAAAGTCAAGTAAAGAAATCTGGCAGATTGCATGCATGATGATTGGTTAGAAAAGTGAGTTTTCATCATTTCCTTGAGTAAATCTTTTGAAATATTTTAAAAGATATCATGATAAACTTATATTCTAGTTATGTTTCCAGAGATCAAAAGATTAAAACTTATCAAAATGTATACATTCATTTATGAACAAAAATTTGTTTCTCAAAAACTCTTAACTTGAGTTTGATGTTTTAATCCTTAAAATCGATTTTTGCACTAAGATCATGAACATGCAACCTTGTTTATCATACATGCATGGTGTTAAAACACATCCATGATGTTCTAAAAAACCATTTTAACACAAAGAAAACAAGTTTGAAGAAGATGAAGAAGGAGAAAGTGTAAGAAAAAGAGCAAAATTTGAAGGAAAAGTGAAGTAGAAATCGATTTTACCTTCAAGAATACCACAAGATGATGAAGATTTCGAGTTTGAGGAGTGTTCTTGGGTTTGTTTTCTGGAAAATTTCTTGGTTCTTAGAGGGAGGAAGAGAGAATGGAGTGGTGTTTGGAGAGAAAAAGTAGAGAGAAGGTAGAGAGAGTTTTCTAGAGAGAGAAAGGAGAGAGATGTGTGTGTGTTGGAGAATGAGAGTGTGAGAGAGAGATATGGGGAGGGGGAATCCGATTTTAGGGGAGGAGAGGCTCCCTCTCTCTTGTTTCTTTTATAAAAATTCAAATCTTTTATAAAAATATCCAACTTTTTATAAAATGTGCACCTTAACCTAGTTTTTATGCATAAAACTCTTGATTTTTGACTTATAAATCAAGGGTAAATGAAAATAAATAAATCTTTATTTTTCATTGAATTGTATTTCATAATAATTATTATGATAAGATAATATTATAAGGTTCATAATTGTTTTTATAGGACTTTTAAGGTTAAAGTTTATAAATATGAGTTTTTAGGGCTTTTAGGGTTTTGGAGTTTAATAAACTTTGAATATCAAAATAAATTGAATATTTGAGACTTCAAATTATCTTATGGTATTATAACTCTTTTATAGTTATAAATAATGTTTATAATTTATTTTTATCGGTTTATTGGCATTCTATGTAGTGATTCCGAGATTCAAGCGAAATTGAGGAATCAAGTATACTAGTCCTAGTCTTCAACTTTGACTTAAGTTTCTATGAGACTTTGAACTCACTTCTACTTCTAGGTC